AGAAAAAGCAATCCTAAAATTCAGATGGAACCACAAAAGACCCCGAAAAACCAAAGCAATCTGGAGAAAGAACAAAGCTGGAGGCATCACACTTCCTGATCTCAAAATATGTACAAAGCTACAGTAATCAAAACAGTATGGTACTGGCACAAAGACAAGCATATACATTAAAAGAACAGAAAAGAGAGCCCAGAAATAAGCCCACACATGTTCAGCCAGCTGATCTTTGATAGGGGTGCCAAGAATACACAATAGGGAAAGGACAGTCTCTTCAAAAAATGGTACCAGGAAAACTGGATATCCACACTTTTAAAAAATGAAATTCAATCTTATCTTACACCATATACAAAAATCAACTCAAAATGCATTGACTTAAATGTAAGACCTGAAAGTGTAAAACTCCTAGAAGAAAACAAATGGGAAAACCTTCTCGACGATGATCTTGGCAGTGATTTCTTGCATATGACACTAAAAGCACAGGCAACAGAAGCAAAAATGGACAAGTGGGACTACAGCAAACTAACAGGCTTCTGCACAATAAAACAACAGGGTGAAAAGGCAAACTATGGAATGGGAAACTATATTTACAAACCATATCTCTGGTTAGGGGTTAATAGTCAATATAAGGAACTCCTCCAACTCTAGCAAAAAAAAAAAAAAAGCCCTATTTACAAAATGGCAAATAGACATTTCTTCAAAGAAGAAATACATATGGCCAACAAGTATACGAAGAGATGGTCATCATCACTAATCATTAGGGAAGTGCAAATCAAAACCACAAGGGAATATCACCTCACCCATCATCCTATCTCCTTAGGATGGCTGTTCTGTTATTCTATCTACTTATTCTATCGTTTGCTGAAAAGAAAATGTTAAAACTTGATCTTTGATTATGGATTTGTTTATTTTAATTCTATGAGGTTTTGCTTCACAGATTATAAAGCTCTGTTATTTGATTCATTTACATTGAGGATTGTCATATTCTCTTGATCAGCTGGCTCCCTTATCATTATGAAATGTCCCATTTTATCACTTAATATTCTCTGTTCAGATGTGTAGATTTTCTGATTCTAATATGGCCATTTCAGCTTTCTTTTAATTAGGATTTGCAGTGTACTCATATGTCTTTCCCGTTCCTTTAATTTTAACTTGTGTGTGTGTTTTATATTTAAAGTAGGTTTCTTGTAAATAGCAAAAATTTGAATCTTGCTTTTTTTTTTACAATTCCATTTTGACAATTTGCCTTTTAATTGGATATTTAAGCTGTTTACATATAGTGTAATTATCAATATCATTTCAGTGCATCCTTTATTTTTTTAATATTTGTATATATTTATCTTTTTTACATTTTTAGCTTTCTCATTTAGGTCTATCATCCATCTCAAGTTAATTTCTATGGTTGGTGTAGGGTAGTGGTCAAAGGTCCTATTTTCCTGTATGGATACACACTGGTTCCTAGCCCAGTTTTTTAAATATAATTTGCTTTCCCCATTGAATTGCTTTGGTGCATTAAAAAAAAAAATTCACTATATATATATGTCAGTATCTTTCTGGACTATTTTGTTCCATTGATCTATCTATCGTTATTGCCAATACCATACTTCTTAATTACTATGGATTTATAGTTAATTTTGAAATATGATGGTTTGTCTTTCAATTTTGGATGTTTCTCAGATTGTTGTAACCATTCTAAATCTCTTGCATTTTTATGTAAATTTCAAAATCTATGTGTCAATTTTTACTTTAAAAAAGCCTGCTACTGTCATAATACCAAGGTTAAGGGTTTGGATCCCCATAATGGCTAGCTGAGAATTTTGATGGAAATTGTGTTGAATCTGTAAGTTAGTTTATGGGAAAATTGGCATCTTAATAATATTGAATTTACCAATTCATGAACATGGTTTAGAAGTTCTCTACTTATTTACCTTTGGATTTTTTTTTTTCTTTTTTTTGGTTTTCAGTATAGAGGTGTAGCACATCTTTCTTTTAAACTCACTCTTAGGTATTTGGTGTTTTTAAACCAAATTCTCTTTGTGGATTTTATTCTTTTTCAAATTTTGTTTTCATGGTTTTTTGCTATTTAGAAATACAGTTGATTTTTGGATATTGACTTTGTTATTCATGACCTTTCAACTTCACTGATTAATTCTAGCAATTTATAGATTTTCTTTCTTTTTCTTTTTTCCTTTTATTTGTTTTTCTGGCCTTATTTTACAGGATGGGACCTCCAGTACCATGTTGAAAATAATCATCCTTGCCTTGTTTCCAACATTTTTAGAATTGTCTTGTATTCTTGAAAAATGGACCCTATTATCATTGTAAAATGGCTTTCTTATGATAGTGTTTGCATGGTATATTTTTTTCTATCCTTTTATTTTCAACATATCTGCTCTTGCTTTTTAAATTGTTTCTTTTAAATAACACGTAGTTGTATCTTTTTATTATTTGTCTAAACAGTTCTTTATTCCTATTTTGCATTCTTTTGGATTAAGTATATTATTTCATTTTTATCTCCCATCTGGCTTTTTTTTTTTTTTTTTTTTTTTTTTTAAAAATG